CGAAAGATCAGAAGATTAAAAGTAGAACAAAAGAAAACAGAAACTAAATTTTCATTATCGTCAAATACTGTTAAATGTGTATGGGGGTGATTGGTATGGGTTGCGGAGGGCGGGACCTTCTTGCCAGGAGTCTCGGGTTCAAATCATGCCAATAACCAAAGCACCAAAGGCTTATTATATATGATGTATCGCAATCCATTAGGTTGGATCCCACATCAATAGACCTATATACGCTCAATAGTATATCTATACTATCATATACGCATATCTAGAAAATAAATTTAAATTTCTTAAACACATTTGCAGGCGAGGAAATCTTATCTGGATTGTAGTTCTCGCTATGAAAAATCCATACGATGGCTTAGTTATTTTTCCAATTTATTATCAGCCACATTACGTACTTTAAACTTAAAACCCTTCAGAGAAGCGAATTTCCATTTGCCTGTTTGGGTTTTCACAAAAAAATATTAAAATCCAGATTTATTTTTGGTTCTAATCATTAGGTTTAATAAGTGCTGTACTTCGTTTGTAGATACAGGAATGGTACCGTAATTACGTGTGTCTTGTTTATTAAAATGATAGCAGCGTAGTATGAAAAATTATCTTGCCAAATTTGATCAAAACCCATCCTAGACCATGTCTACTACAACGGGTTACTTAATCTCCATAAGATCATTACAGGGTGATTTTCGATATAGGCTACAGTTTTTCTCCTTAACCATTAATTGTACAAAAACCTTATCATACTAAATCGTTCACTTTTAAGCTCTGGCTCTACATAAGTTTTGGAAATATATTACATTTTATGTTTTGATGGTCTAGAATATGAACAACCAATTTTCACCCCATAAAAACACCAATGAAACCCCGTCCCCATGGTCTGATCATGCTGGTTCACGAGATCGTTCGAATAAACGTAGAATAACACATTTATAGCACATTTCATTAAAAACTGTTGATATTTTGTCGAGTTATCATGCTAACGTTAACCGCATAACAAAGAAATTTGAACCGATGGTGTTTTTGCCTCTGGGGACATCAATACGAAAAAGCAATCATCAGTTCTGGGTCTAGAACTTGCCATAAATAGAAATGTGTTAATAGGCCTAAGGACATAGAGGACTGTATGTCATGCATGAAGACTCAGTTATATTAAACTGTAATTAGACAACTATGGTTAAAGGTGCGTTCTACCTCAGCTCGGAAATCTCGGCTCGGGCTTCAGTAGCATTGATTGACTATATATACCTACAGGTGACTTAATGGCAGTAGCTACCGCTGCGCCATTGAACACCGCCGCGAGAAGCGCTTGCAGACGTTTCTCTCAAATTGCTCAGTTAACTTTTACAATTTGTTTAATCTGAAGAAGGTTTCTTACTTATTACATTCAAATCTATGACTCTCTGGTTTTAATTTCCATAAAAAATTAATTCTCATGAGTAAAGTGCTTATTTTGTTGAGGTATTTACTAGTCACTTCGACTTCACACTTAACTTTCTACTATTAGCAAAAAAAATACAACGGTAAAAGCGTACACTAATATGAAATGAATGAAGTAACATAATTATATTTTCAATCGGTTAAGAACTAAGCAGACAATTACGAAGATCCTATTTGCATTACAGGTAGAGCGCACCCAGGTAAAATTTTCTTTATAAGAATACATTTGAAGACAGTGGTTTTGGTTTGTCATGATAACATAGTCATGTTAAATGTATTTTACTTCAGAAAAATACAGTTAGTGTATTGTGTTAAGAAGACGGCAAAAATACTCTGCCTGAATACGACTGCGATAGCCAATGATAGAGCAAAATTTTACCGTAGGCTAAACCTCGAAATTTACCATCACATTAAAGTCTTTTTGTGTTTACTCCGTTGTATGATTTACTGGGAAATCGATTTACTTTTGCCCTAAACGAGAGGTACAAAGCCTTCAAGGACTTGGCCGTAGGAGGAGTTCCTGGAGAGAAATGTCTTCATTAATGCGTCAGCAGCCGCGCTATTGTTCCTTCAACACCTGATAAAGAGCGATCGATTGTGTCTGTCAGGTGTGGCATCTTGCGTTTATGAAATAGAACAATTATTTGTATAGGTGCTTAAACAAATACCTTGTTGGCTGTAAGGTCACGAATTGACGAGTGGTTTCTTAAACTGCTCCGATGCAACCTATAGAGTAAAGGTTGATGTTACATTGATAGTAAGGTGTTTAGGTAATTTTATAACCTTACTTCTTAACATTCGACATACTCCCATACATAGATTTATTGCCCCTGTGGATAAGCTGGCGAACAGTGCCCCCCCCCCCCCCCCGACGTCCCGTGCGGTGCGTCTTCTTTAATTCATGACTTGTACGTTATTTTATTTCACAAAGTGTATTAAATTATGACGAAATAATGTATAAATTCTGGTGGTAATAGTCAAGGTGTAAAGTGGACTATGTAATTGTATCTTTTTTGGTTTTACAGATACGCCATTGATATTTTGTGACCACCTTTTTTGTAAAGGATCGCTCCAAACCGGTCTTGAAATGTCGAACTTTTGTTGGTAAGCATCGTTAATCGATAGACCAATGACGAATAACATCTTAGTGCGGTAAAGATGTTGCTTGAGATGATAGCCAATGACGAATGAGATATGAGTGCGGTAAAGATGTTGCTTGAGATGATAGCCCAATGACGAATGACATATGAGTGCGGTAAAGATGTTGCTTGAGATGATAGCCCAATGACGAATGACATCTGAGTGCGGTAAAGATGTTGCTTGAGATGATAGCCCAATGACGAATGACATCTGAGTGCGGTAAAGTTGCTTGGGATTGAACAGACAACCTTCAGCTTGGAAGGCTAGCACAGAAACACTCGGATATCCATGTATAAGTATAGCAGAGCTGTCTTTAATGTTGAGTAACGCACTCAAGCTTTACCGAATATACGTCCATATATACGTCCATAATATACGTCCACCAAAAACAAGCTTCTGAACAATTGCAATAAGACCAGAAGTCGAAAGTTCTTGCAGTATCCTAAATACATGTTTATCCCAAGAAGAACCTTAATAAACTGGTGTGTGCATCAATGCACTATCCCAAACAGAGCTGTGAAAAATAAATTATGACCAACAGTTGACGATGATCCTACAACGATTTTTAATTTTAATTTCTCTAAAGCACCCGATTATGATAACCCTTTAAGAGACCGTCTTCAATTTACGTAACACGTTTATAGTAATTTTAAACCCCTCCCACCCCCCAGTAACGCTATATAATGCAAGCCTAAACTTCCCCCGACTAACAGTAACGCTGTCTAAACACTTTTATACTTGGTTGAGGTATGAACTCTTGGTAAAGTTTTCTCCTGACCCCATAAAATGGGTTTAATTGGTTTTGTCATCAACAATAAAAAACATTTCGAGAACAAATTTTACAGTTTATTTGAGCACAATATCCAAACAGATTAACGTTTACAACAAAACTTATTTTGAAAAAAAAAACAGAAATGTTTGGGATAGTGCATTGATGCACACACCAGTTTATTAAGGTTCTTCTTGGGATAAACATGTTTTTAGGATACTGCAAGAACTGTCGACTTCTAGTCTTATTGCAATTTTTCAGAAGCTTGTTTTTGGTGGACGTATATTATGGACGTATATTTGGACGTATATCCGGTAAAGCTTGAGTTCGTTACTCAACATTAATTGTATACTAAACACTTTTGTGTCTTTTTACTGTAACACTTCTGAACAAAATTAACATGACGGTAATAAAACAGGAAAACATTCAGATTGGTAAGTCGTTTCGGAACTAGAATATCAGTTCTAGACAAAAAAGTCAATACAAAATTTACTATAAATTGGTGACTTTACCTGAGCTACAAACTGGATTGCAAAAATGCAAGTATTTACATCTATTTATAGTATTTAAATATTAAATGCAATTAGGAGGCTAAAATTCAATATAATGAATACAAAATTTAAACTGATATTTCAATTATTTTTACAAAACAGAGGTTATCATTTTGTTACTTTGAAAAAGTTATTTTTTTAGTGCGTATTACCGTAACTATTGTATCTTGAAACCCCCCTCCCCTATCTTCGTAACGCTAAGCCTAACCCATAATAGATGATGTAGTAACACTTCGGCCCAGTAACATTTCGGCCAAACTCAAATTTCTTAGAAAAACAGTATCACTTCGTCCCACTCGCTTTTACAGATGATTAAATAAGCTAATGGAGTAACATTTTGGCCCGACGAAAAATTGACAAGGGTTGAGGAACGCAGTTCAGGTAGTAAGAGGTACATGACCTGTATACTTTGCAACCACCCTCTGGTGGAATGTCGCCCAACCGTCACCCCTTGCATCCTCTGAACTCACATGACGGAGAATCGGTGGAATCTAACCTAACCTAACCTAACCTAACCTAACCTAACCTAATCTAACCTAACCTAATCTAACCTAACCTAACCTGTCAAATATTTTGTTGGGACGAAGTGTTACTAGTGGGCAGGTAGAGAGTTGGACCGTAGGCCACATCTGAGGGTTTCGGGCCGAAATGTTACTGGGCCGAAGTGTTACTTGGGCCGAAGTGTTACGACACGTAATAGATCTCTATGAGGCCCTCCCCTCTCTCCAAGAGCGTTACATAATATGTGGACAGCCCCGAAACAACTTCGAATGTTAAAATGTATCTTCTTAAATGTTTCAAAATTCCTTTTATGGTCTCTTTATCAACGAAATAAGAAATACAATCGAAAAATCAACTTTCCTCAAACAAAGCTGAATAAACACTAAATTAATTGTTGATTTAAAAGACCAATAAATCCGCGGATCAGCAAGTTGCGAGGGAGGCATTAACAACATCTCACCACCCCTGATCAAAGGCTGAAAAAAGCCTAGTGGGTGGGGGGTGGGGGTTAGGGGGAGAAGCCCTCCGTGGCAGCTGCGTCGCGCCGTTACGTAGGGGGGAGGCTAGCTTAGCCTAAATATAGCAGTCACTGCCAGCGCGCCGAGTGAGTCAGATCGTCAACTGTACACAGTACACAGTAGCGAGTAGCAGTCGACGCTCGGAGTGCTTGCCGCGACTTTACCGCAAGTTTTCACACAAGTGAACGTGCTCTAGCTATGTAGATAGACCCCTGGAGTCACACGTATACAGTTTAAAGTGCTTTTAACCTATAAAATGCTGATGCCCGGTGCTCTAGGATCCACGGACAGCATGTTGGGAACCGCCGATGGTCTGGTTGGGAGTCTGGCTAGTTTGACCACCCCTACGGGAACTACCCAGCAGAAAGACACTACTTGGACGAAACTGTTTGTCGGAGGGTTGCCGTACCACACGACAGATAAGTCGCTGCGAGAACACTTCTCTGTGTTCGGTGATATCGAGGAGGCGGTGGTCATCACTGACAGACAGACCGGCAAGAGCAGAGGATATGGATTTGTAAGTTTCAATCTTTTTCTACTATGTAAACTAGTAAAATGTTTGAAGGTACGGACGATATGAGCTATGGTAATTCTCAAGCAATATTACTGCTGAAATTAGATTGGTTGCGCAACTTCATGAAACAAGCTTAGGCCTACTGGATACACTTCGGGCGAATTAATGTTTCCAAAACAATGTGTTACGGTTATTTCGCCATCGGAAAGATTGGAAAGTGCTAATTATTAGCTGTAGCCTATCAATAATAATTGTAAGTGTAGTTAAATTCGAACAAACATCCTATCCGTCTTGGATGTTAACGATGTTTTACTTTGACCCCTATGTTTGGATTTTAATTTTTGCTCTTGATGACGTTCAAACAATATAATCTTCATTGTAATGAGATAATTATTTTCTCTATTCACCTAGGTTTTATAAAAGACGGTTAGTAAATTGTAAACCCTAAATTTTTCACTGAACATTATTTTCGCGGGGTATCGCCAATAGTTCACCGCCATCATACCGCGCTCCGCGCTACTGTCTGTGCTGTTGCTGTTGTAGAGTGGAAGGAAGACGCGCCAAAAATAACCTAGCTGCACTTCCATTCCCATTGCACAGCTGTTGACTGTGAGTGCGAGTCAAATATCCTTGAATTGCACAATTTTGAGAAATAAATGTTTTAAGAGTGACTTTTTGTATTGATCATTTTTGTACTAGGCCTATGATATTTTTACAGGGTCCCAAGGTTTCCAGTTTTTACAACCACCTCAATGCACATTTCTATGTCAAACTAGCACATAATTTATATTAAACTTCTGCTTTCTACATCAAATTCAGTAGATTGAAATTCATAAAAACTGGCAGGATGGTTGTAATCAGTTCCATTGTTGACAGTTGTGGTTGTTGCCAAAGCGCTCATGAACTTGTATGCAAATTGTCACCTTGGCTACAGGATATGACGTTGAATTCAGTTTTCACAACACTTTTTGGTTAAGGTTACATTACAATTCGGTCTATTTAAGAGTTTAAGGGACATTTATCAATTTTAAGAGTTTTTTAGCCTATTTGATCTTAAATGTTCTTCAAACCAATTGAAAGTTGTATCGTGTCTTCAACTTGTACTAATAATTAATTATTTCTATATTACCACGATGACGTTGACACGGTTTACATGTACAATATGTTATCTTTCGACTTAAGAAAACATCAGTGTTGTGTTCATTGTGCATTTTTGTGATTTTATTGATCTAGAAATGATGTGTTTGAGAGAGAATTTAATTTAATATTTCTTGGTTTCTCGCACTGACAAATTATTCGCTGAGTGTAGACAGGGGTCGTCATAAGGGGAGTGTTGCCCGAGCACTCGAAAAATTCTCGCATATTTACACGAAGATTTTTTCTATCTCCATCATATCCCATTAGCTTGTTTCAAGACAGATTGGGGTTAGAGTATAACAATTGATCGTCAAGAGTAAACATGTAAGTTTTGCTGTCAGAACTAATCTGTATTGCAGTTCGACTAACATAGGAACCTATGCCCAGAATCATATAATTATTGTAAATGAAATGAACAGCTGGGGTTGCCCCATGGCTCCCTCCCCCCTGCTGTGTTCGGCGACCCGTAACCCCCCCCCCAGCGGTGTCCTACCGTGTGTCACTTCCTTTCTGCACGTCACATGTTCCCCCATATTCCATATACAACATATAGTAGTGCACAATCATTTTTGTGCTTAGTACGTATGTGATAGAAATAAATTCGTTAGGCTATACATTTCTCTGTACCAATTCCTTCCCTCATAACGTTGGGGTAATACGTTTGTGAAATGTTATGTAGACTGTCGGTGTAAATTAAATATAACAAAGGACAGGTTATTGTAGAGTTATAGTTAAGCGAAACACCACCTGATTGTATACACAACTTGGGAGATGGGGAAAATTTACCAATTCCAAAGCCCAGAAGAGCCCAAACACAAAACTTAAGTACAAAATACGGAATCCCAAATTAGGCTTATTGGTAGGCCTGACATATGGACCTAGGTACTTCTTTTTCTTCTTTGATGAACCACAAGATTTTTTTGTGTTCATTTTTGTACAATGAAAACGAAAACATACAATTCCGAATTAATTAACATCGTGTTTTAGAATACAGTAAGTAGAATATAATAACTTATTCTATCAATTATGAGCTGTTGATAATCATCAGTGGTCAATCGCAACTCGCTACAGGCTACATCGAAAATGCATTAGTGGACAAAGATTGTTGACACTATTCCATCTTCTACATGGGACTTTGAGGATCTTTTGTTTGAAAATAGATAGGTACCTACCTAACTACCTGTATAACAAAATCGATCCAGTAGAAATAAATCTAGGCCTACACAGTTCTACTGGATCGATTTTTGTTACCTAATATTTCGTTGGAAAGCGAAAGTTCGAGTAGATTTGTAAATAATTATGAAAAGATCCAACCAGTAGAACTATAGGTTTAGTTGTACAAAGTTAAAATATCTAACTCGATATTTTCTTGCCACTATAAATTCGGAGGTTGCTTAAACTTTTTGTAGGCTAAATAACTTGGTGAGGGAATCGACCTAAGTGGAAGGTGCAATTTTGAAAAAGAATAAAAATTACTACAACTTACCAAATTACTAGTTTGCATTTCTTGAAAATGCTCGATAAAGGCAGCCAAAGTTGTCTTCAAATAGGTGTAATGTGAAAACCCCCTTATAAAATAGTATTTCTAATGGAACATTTTTTTTTAATTCTTCACCATAAATAAAAAAAAAAAAACGTTCAAAAACAAATTTTCATAATCATTTGTAAATTGGGAGTGAGCATTCCAAAGACTCATTAATTAATCAAACCGGTCCAGTTTTATAAGATTAGGCCTACAATTAATTAATTAATCAATTAATTAAATCTCAAAGATTTTAAAGACTGAATTATTATTAGAGTAGATAAAGATATTGAAGCCCTATAGGTGGAACCCAGGGAGTTTGATACATCGATGGTGAAACCATGAGTAGAGGCTGCATAGCAGACGTACAGGCCTGATAAACAAAGACTTTACCCGGTTTTATTTCATGTGAAAGGTGAGCATCAGCACAGTACACGGTTGCTGATCAGATAAACATGCGATAATCGCAGTTATCGCGAACACAGCTGTTTCCCAGTTGCTGTTTCCATGAGACCCACATCCCACATGCAGTTTTGCGGACAGCCGAGAGGCCGGATTTCCGCTGGATGGTTTACAAAAAGTGTGACTATGTACAATGTGACCTGAATGAGTCTTGTGCTGTCTAGCCGTACAACAAAGCCATTAAATTTATGCAATCTCTTTATTTTAGCCGGTGAAATCAATCAACTGAATAAAGTCTGGAAATAAAATTCATTCTTTTAGTTTTTGATGTTTTTTTTTTCAAACATTATGTTTTCTTCCCGTAGCCAGGTCGGGTTGGTTTACGAATCCATTCAAAGGATTATCTATATTTGCCCACATTAAATAGGTTTAGTAGTTTATCAAAATAAAGTCTTTACAGTACGTTCTATCGTTCCTGAATTCCAAACCTATCTTTAATAGTTTTGATTGAAGTGGATTTAGGAGAAATATTTACGCAGACCTGTAGAGGTTTCCGTCTTATTCTCAATCAAGAAACCCATATTGGGCTCGGTTCTCGGGCTTTCAAAATTAACCTTGTCAAGAGAATTTTATGATTGATACAGGTGGTACTAACTAGTTAACTATAATATAGTGATACCGTATGCCTATACAGTACTACATAAACGTTGCATTCAAGAACATCCTGAAGGGAGTCCAGTTTCTTAACCCCTTAAATGAATTTGATTTTTTTTTCTTGGGGTTAAACCAACAAACATTTGGCGCTTTATATATAGAACACCTATGGCAACAACACCTAGGGGGGAATTATTCGTATCGTCGACATTCATAACTATTGACAATTAAGCATTTGGCTGGAACATGGAAAACCGTGGCAAACAGTGTGGAGAATTTAAGAAGTAGCACAACGGTAGCAAGTAGCTCCAATGGATGGGTCGGCGTAGATATGTTATCACTTAGCGACCGTTATATTATGATAAAGCTTCCCTCAGAAACACTTACACTTGTCCCACTAACTCAACAGGTGTAGACGTGAGTTGATAGTGATAATTACATTGTAACTTGTATGTTTTAATCACTCCATTATTGCAATCAATGTCCTCTTTATTATAAGGATGAGAATAATACGATTTTTGGAATATCGACTCAAATGAACGGTTCTTGCATTGCTAGTCTTTTTGCCATCAATAATAACCGAATTTTTTTTAGAAAGTCGATATCCATACTTCACACGTCTTCTTTTCAAATAGCGAAATTAATACTTTTTTTAATACTTTTCGATGAAATGGCGACCATACAAAGTAGTTATTTTAAGCCAAGATTAAACAAATTTAAATGGGAGAAATCGTTAGCCTGACGTTTTTGTGAAAAAGTAACAAGTCCTTCCAAATGTAATACTTTTCTGAATTTAAATTAAATTGTTTGGCATATCAGTGTTTAAAAACATATGTAAACATTGCCTTCATCATGTTCATGACGAATCCCAGTATGTCTATATTTTAATTGCCACTATACAAAATGCAATCTTATCGCCACAATCTGGACTATTCTTGAGTTGAAATTAAAAGAGCCGGGCGGCGCAACACAAGTAATCCAGCAGTCTTGTTCATGTTCAAGGGCTACGGTTGATTACTTCTTTTGTCTCGAGGCCGCTGCTGCTTCATCCCCTAAACAAAACTGCCATCAGAAAAGCGAAAAGCGGTCTTTGGACTCTCTTGCCTCTAGCATGTTAAGAGATAACGTTTTAGTCATAAGACGCTATTTAATATTCACATCACATTTTGTGCTCATTGTAATTGTAAAATACATATTTTATACGATCGCTCCGTATTGAGTTTTGTTCAGAAGGATTTCATCGCGAAAATCTTAATACTGTAGTACTGTAGTATAAATTATTCTCTAC